CAAACACATCTCCTAATTTACATATAGCTTACAATCACTTACCTTGGACCATACTTTCTGTGCTTTGTGTATGGACTGTTCATCTAAAACAGTAGTGGGTAACTTCAGAAACTGACAATAAATTCCAGTATAGAAACAGTAACTGTCTTAGCTACTCTTCTCATTGTTGAGACAAATATCCAACACCCAAAGTTAAAGGAGAGAAGGTTTATTCAGCTCACAGTTTGCAGAGGTTTCAATCCACAGCTGGCTGGTTCCAAGGCAGGGTGGCATGGCAGAGGGGCATCACAGAGGAGAAACAGATCATGGTGTGGCAAGACGGTGGCTAGCAACGAGCAGCAGCAGCAACAGCCTACCTTCTCTCTGTCTCTTTATTCCATCCAGGCCACCAGCCTAATGATTGGTGCCACTTACATCAAGGGTTGGGTTTCCATCGTCCACACCCTTAACCCCAGCATCATACCCTTCATCCACATTCACAAACCCTAATCCAGCTACCTTTGAGACTCCCCACCTGTGACCGTATGAGGCTTTGGGGGGTACATCTAGATACAAGACCTAGCAGAAACTTACAGTTTTATGACTTCTGTGTGTGGTTCCATATTTATCATCCCATCAGTTTTTCTCAACAGCTCTGCAAGAAGGTATGGCATCACGACCAGAGCTTTCAATGTGAGACTGCAGGCTGTCGGCAACATAACCAATTCTTGGAGGCTATGGCTGTGAATGCCTCAGCTCTAAGGACCCTTTTGCCTCATCCTCAATTTTGTATTTATTATCACAATTTCCCCAGAAGGTGGCAGTAAGCTATCTTAAAGGAGACCTGGTTTTGCTTTTCTCTAATTCTAGCAAAGGTATCAGAGACTAGTAGTATGGTAAATTTCCCTTTATGAATGAATCTCAGAGAAATAAAGTAATTCAGTCAACATTCCTGACACCCACCATAGAAAGAAGCACAGATTTTCCACTCCTCAACCAAGGATAATTAAGAAAACTCATAGAGGTGGGAAAATACATTATATGAAGCTTTGTAAGATAAGAAAAGGCCAACAAGGTATGGCCTACGTAAGCTGTTTTTAAAGAGGCTTTTTTAAAAAATAAAATGTGACCAACTAACTTAATGAGACACTCTCTCAAAATTAACTAAAAAGAGAGATGGAGATTATAGCTCAGCACAGAGGCCCTCATTTCAATACCTAAAACACATCCCCCCAATTAAACAATAAAAATATACATATTTATTGGGTGCAACATGACATTTTAAATGGATAAATCAAGCTAGTTAACATATACATGGATTCACATACTTATTTTAAACCATCTACTGTTAGTGGTTTTTAAGAACATAATGCATTACTATAATGCTCACCAGTAGATCTCTTGATCTTTTTCCTACCCATCAAAGAGGTTCTTAATCACAAGGAAAAAGAATTTTTCTGAGACAGGGTCTTTTCATGTCATTTGGGTTGTCCTTTAACTCATGGTGATGCTCCTGCCTCAGCCTCCTGAGTCCTGGGGTTCCAGGCTTTCACCACCATTCCTGGCTAAGTATCTTAAAAGCTCTGTACTGCTTTTATTTAGGGTGTTCTGTGCTGGCGTGAGCCCGTCAGTGTTTCCACAAACTGGTGACATCACTTAAACATAGACCCTGGATCTGGAGCACCCAGCCTTCCCTGTGCTGCAGGGGTCTGGACTCCAGCAGAGATGCCCCAAGAGACAAGACTGACAGTGCACGCTGCCCTGTTCCAGTCATGCTGCCACTGTAAGCTGAAGCACAGAACTGAGCAGAGTCTAAGAGGTCAGCAAGGGCTACACCTAAGACAGCCACAAACCCAACATCCAAAAGACCTGGAGTGAGGCTATCGCCTAACTCACTTGGAGCAGGGCCAAAGCTCCAAATCCTTGTTGAGGAGCACAATCACCACAGCTGACAGGTCTTTCAGGAGATTTCTTCTCTCAGGGTGAATGTGCTCACCTCACAGTCTGAATACGAACACATAACATTCACATTTAACATTAAATTTTAACATTCACTTGCTTCTAGGGTGGCACCTTTGACCCCAGTAGGGATACCACAATATATAGAGGACATGCTGTATTTTACCTTCCTACCTCCAAAACTTATCTCTCTCCTTTATTTGAAATTACTGTTATTATTTTTTTGGTGGAGAGTTTGAACTTGGGGGCTTCACAATGAGCTACATCCCTGGTTCTTTTTATTTTCTTACTTTGAAACAGGGTCTCACCCAGTGGCTAAGTCTCCCATTCTGTGCTCAAATTTGCAGTCCTCCTGCTTCAGGCTCCCAGAGTGCTAGGATTACAGGTGTGTACCACCATGCCTGGCTCAGATAGCTGCTCTTAAAGTGCATTTTACTGGCAGTGGTACCACACATGGTATGAGAAGCATAAATTCTACTGTTTGTTCATCAGAACTGCCATATCAGTTTCCAGTTTTATTAACATCAAAGCCAATTACAATAAGTTCATGGCAACATATACTACAATGTTCATAATTATATAAATGAAACTCAAGGGGTGAGATGGCTAAGGGAAAACTCTGAGATTATTAAAAAATAATTCATGAGACGATACACTCTGCTGCACTCAACAGTTAGAATGAAATACAATCCTAGGAAATACTGATTTTAAAAAATGCTGGTTGTGAGAAGGTAAATGATTACTTTGCCTAATAAAAAAGGTAAAGTGTGGTAGTGTGTGAGGTAAAGTGTGGTGGTGTGTGAGCTTGAGCCTGGCCCGGGTAACTCAGGGAAATGAATGAATAAATCAGTCAGTGAATGAATGAAGAGAACGAACTGGCTGGGGAGGTAACTCAGTGCCAAAGGCCCTGGGTGCAAAGCCCAGCATGAGGACAAGATGTCACAAGTTGGTGTTGGCAGCGTGAGGCTGAAGTTGCACAGACTCCCTGTGCTGAGCACAGCTCCGCTCATGATGGACTTGGGCACAGCACGGCCCTGCCCGTGCTCCCCATCTCCACACCCTCGGGGCCAGCTGCGCATCCTCGGGCCAGACACAGCCATCGGGTGGGACGGCTCGCTGAGATATTGCCTGCCTTTTCATCCGGATGTTTTCGACTCAAACATCACCTCTCATGCCATGAAGTTTCCTTTGCTCTTTTCCAGTCGTGATCTCTTGTCCCTCCTGAGACGACTGCCCTTGAGCTAATGGTTTAAAACTATTCCCTCACAGGGATGCCAAGGATAACAACAGCTAGAGGGCTTCAGAAATTAAAGGCACGGCAGAGCTGAAATAAGAAGGGAAGTTCCAAGGATTTAAGCATTGTCCAGAGCCCGGGCATCCCCGGAAGCACTCATGAACTCATGTGTAACCCGCAACCCCTTGTGACGCAGCTCTATTGTACAGAACAGTAAAGTGCTGTCGCTTGAAAGAATCAGTGGCTGACCTTGGAGCATCTGACAGGTGTGGCATTCCTGCTGAGCACACTGGCAGTGGAGATGTCAGCAGCACCCAGTGGGTCTGGACCAGAGTGCTAAGCCTCCTGCAATCTGGGACAGTCTCAGAGGGACTATCCCAACCCCAAGTGCGAATGACACCCTGTGGAGAACCACTCTCTTGCTGATAACTTGTTTTCCACGTTCTTTTTACTGAGCTACTTATCTCTCATAGAATTCTGTGTTATTCCATTTTAATTGTATGAAGGTTAAATGTGAGAACTACTTTGAAATTTAGCCCAAGGGACAACTTGGTTAAAAATGGTTGAGTGTCTTCTGTATTAGGCCTCTTCTCAACATCTTCTACATGGCTACCAACTAAGACCAAGACACAAAAAGCCTCTGGATTTGATGGTACAGTGCAAATCTACAGGACATTCATTGTACTTGGTGGTCATGGCTTCTGGTCATCATTCACATTAAATAACGTAAACATTTTAGCAGCCGTGAACACTGGTGGTAAAGTACAGGATATGTTAATTCTATCAGTCTAATGACAAATTAATTTCATCGGTTATTTATTTCTGCTAGTTTCATCTTTCATTTGTTGCCTCTGTGGAGGAAGAAAACTAAAAGCTCTGTTATCAAACAGGACACCAGTCACTGCTCTGTGTCCTAGGTGCGTCTAATTACCTGCTATCCGCGAAAACCTTGGCGGGACCAGGCTGAGACTAAAGATTAAGCCTTAAACCCAGTCACTTAGAAGCTTGCTAAGGCAGACACCTGGCACCACAAACTTGATGTCTGAGCTCTGGGGGAGGTGAGACCCCTTCTCAGACATTTCCATCCAGGAATCGTGACTCTGAGAAGGAAAACCCATTCTGGTGAGACATGCAACAGGCTAGGATCGTCACAAAACACTGCATAGCCAGAACTCCCTACATTTACACCTGTTCTGTGCTTTTAACCATATGGTCTCTTGGCTAATCTGGGTATAGGCGGCCCTGTAAGTCTTGTGGGGCTTAAGGCCTCCTTGGGAACCCTAACTGTTAATCTGGCTAGCTGTGATGCAACACTGCACTTTCTGTCAGGTCATTTGTGCATAGAGCTCGTGAACTCTTTCACTGGTCAGAAATGCCTGTGTCAAGGATCTGTATTTCCTTAGAACTGTCTGAAAGCTAATTATTACCTCAAAGAACTTTTTTCTTAACGTGACACAGATGATTTAGTTTTAACATCTGTCAAGTTTTTCTAAAATAATGTACTGTCAAAGTTTCTACTTGAAGAAGCAATATTTTAAAAAAATTAATTTGAGCTGGGTGTAGCGGCCCATGTCTGTAATCGCAGCACTCTGGGAGGCTGACGACTGCGAGACTAGCGTAAGCAATTTAGCCACTTAGTAAGACCCTTTCTCAAAACAAAGAAAAAAAGAAAAGAAAAGAAAGAATGGGATGTTACTCAGTGCAGAGGCTCTGGGTTCAATCCCCAGTGCCGCCAAAGTAACAGTGATGTGGACGTCTGTCAAACGTGAAAACCAGAAAGCTCACAGCACAGACAGCTCTGTGCTGCAGTGCTCCCCAGAGCTCCTACCTGCATCAGCTGCTGCTTCAGCTTCTGGATCTCCGAGATGTTCAGTTCACTGAACAGGTCTGAGACGGGGTGCAGGGCCTCGGCCTTCCGCAGCGTGGGCGCCCGGTAGTCACCGTTCAGCTTCCCCAGGGGCCCGTGCACGTGCCCGTTCATCTTGTCGTCGTTGTTGGGCTCCCCACCATCCTCGGTGAACTTGAGTCCGTCCACGGAGAGGCCGAGGTGGCTGTCGCCGAGGGTGACATACTGGGCCAGCTCCTTGCGCAGGCTGTTCTTCTGCTCGCGTTCGTTTTTGAGCGTCTCCAGTGCTTCCTCCAGCTGGTGGGCCGCGATCTCCTTGAGCCGCAGCGCGTCCTCCAGCTGGCTGTTGAGCAGCACCGCCTCCTCCTCGCAGCGCTTGATCTCATGCTTCAGGCCCTCGTACTCCACCTACAGCAGACAGGACGGGCCAGCGCGGGTCAGGGTATTGCACTTGGTCGGCCGAAAACCACCAGGTGGCCAGGGCACCGAGCAGCTAAGAGTAGCATCCACAGCACCACAGCAGAGACGCACGCGGTTGCCCAGAGGCAATGCACATCTGCAACCTAGAAGCTTTATGCCTCTAAAGCATGAGAAGATGTGAATTATATATAACATGTAGCCATATGTGAATGCTAATTATGCATAGGAACATACTAACTATAGGACAGAAATAGATAATATCAACGTATCAAACATTAATTCTCTGCAGAGCTGGAAACATCTATTCCCCAAACGGTTCTACCACTTCTTTATCCAGAAGTCAAAAAGCAGGCACTGTTTGCCTAGTAAGTTAAGAATATGGTTGGGTTTGTTTTCTGGTACCAGGGGTTGAACCCAGGGGCTTTGCACTGAGCTATGTCCTCAGTCTTTTTTATTTTTTACTTTGAGATCAGGTTTCATTGAGTCACTGTTGCTGGGGCTGGGCTTGAACTTGTGACCCTCCTGCCTCAGCTTCCCAGAGGAATAGGTTTCGCAGTAATTTGTCAGATGCAAGAAAAGATTCCATCACTACTACTCCTTTGTTTGACTTCATTATTAATAAAGAGGACATTTTTATACTCAGGGACAAATTAAAAAATTACAGTAAGAACATGATCTTAATAAAATACAATGGAGAGTAGGATGAGAAAGCAGAGAAAGTTTTATGTGCTTAGCATATAAAATGGAGGGACAGTGCCCCAGGATCCAGTAACACAGCAGATGTGTGTTATTGGCAGTGTCATGTTCCAGAACTGGAATCAAGTGAGAGGCTGTGGAAGGATTTCTCAGTCACAGAAGCCCAGCTGTGGCAGGAGCTTTCTCTGGGAGCTTGCCCAGGCACAGACCTCGTGCTTCTCACTATTCAGCACCTCTTCTCCACAGTCACCCTGTGCTCTGCTGAGGGGACATCCTTCATATCCACCAGGTGTCCCTTACAGTGCTTCAGTGTTGATGGTATTTGGAACAGTAGCACTTGCAGAATGAATAACTGCTGTGAATGAAAAAATAAACTAGAAAAAACAGTATCGACATTCTACTATCGACATGCTAAGGAACTGTGCTCAGTTTTATTTTTATTCATTTATTTAGTGTCTGTAAGTGAAGGCCAATAAGAGAAGAAAATACAATGTTTCCTTAACTGGAACAAACCTTGGCTTAGAGCATAGCCATTTGTCAGGGAATAAGCCAGAATGGCTTGCCACATACATATGAATAATCTTAATTGATTAATTAGACATGAATTGGGAAAATTATCCTATGCCATGTAGAAAGTGAGACTGGGGGCTGGAGGTTTAGCTCAGTGGCATAAGCTCCTGCCTCAGAAGCAGGCAGTCGTGAGTTCAATCCCTGGTACAGAGACTGAAGAGCTGTATAAATTTCTGTTTTGTTTTTCCTTACAATTTCTCAGTTCCCAAGTTTCAATCTCTGGTAGAAGGGCCTGGGTAAATGATGAACACTAATGCACCGGAATGACAGTACAAATCCCCACAGGACTGGCATTGGGGTTAGCTAAGGCTCAGGAGATCCGGACAAGCTCTTCCAGAACTGCCTCCCATCCTTCCATGCAATACAGGTGGTTGTGCAGACTGCGCCTGCAGTTAGCTGTCAGGAAGGACCGCTTCTAAGGGACCGCTTCTCGGGAGATCTCCTGACCCTATAACGGATTACTGTAAACTACATGACTGACAAGCCCGTGTCTCTTCCCTCCACACTGTAGTGGAAATAGGTAGGCTAGGAAATTTCAGCACACAAATGCTGTAAGGAGAGAAGGGGTTTTTAACACATTTTGGTAAGTTCCTAGTAGAGGAGACTGAAAGAATGGACCCCTTAAGGGGTAAAACTCAAAAAACCTTTTGAGACTTCACCTGGTTCTGTTTCAAGGTGGACACGAGTTTCTGCAGTGTGATGTTTTCCTCTTCCAGTTCAGTGTAGTCCTGCAGGAGCCGGGCCTCCCGGAATTTGTACTCTCTGATCTCATCCTTCATCCGTATTCTCTGCAGCTCCACCATCTCATTGTTCTGAAACGAGGTAAACAATCAATACACAACTCCTCACTCCAGATTTCATCAGTGCAGTAAAAGTCCTGGCAGTTAAAAATAACACTAAAAAACACCTGGAGACACTGTTACTGCCTTTTTCCAATGACGATTTAGTGATCTCTATCCTGTTCCTTCTTCTTGGGATGAAGAAACCCTCTGTTGCCCTGCCTGGCCTCAAACTTCTGGGTCCCAGCAATTGCCCCACGTCAGCCTGCTGAGCAGCTGGGAACACAAGCATGCACTGACTTGTCTAGCTCTTCTGTCAAAAGTTTATAAGTATACACACATGACCCAGCAACTCAAGATCTGAACATCGTTCTTAAATATTTTTCTGTATAGGTAAATACAAAGAGAAGTAATTTGTCAACCCTCGCTATAGGATATAGAACTCACAATGAGTAGATATTGTTACTTTCAACAATAACATGCTGAGTCCACTGATGTAGTGTTGCCTGCAATCAGTCAGGCACAAAAGCCTATGTACAGTACTCTACGACTGTGCGTGTGGAAGTTCAGAAGCATGCAACTTGGGTTAAACTGCCTTCTGGAAAAGATACGTGGAAACCAGCTCGCAGAGTCTTTGCCAAGGTAAAGATAAGCTTGGTCCAGTAGGATGAGTGTCTTTATAAAACAGGGACATGTGCCCGCAATATGTACACGCACAGAGGCAAGAATGTGTGGAGGCACATGGGACAGCTGGCACATGATTGCCAGGCAAAGGCTGCCATGAAGCCAGGCTCAGCTCTGAGCACAGCAAGGGGGAGTGGGCATGCAGAGTGGCCAAGGAGCATAGTGACGATTCAGTGGATAGAAAATTACTGAAAAGAGGACCTCAAGGATAGCAGACTTGAGTAAACTGGACCAGTAGGACTCTTGCTAATGGCAGTCCAAGGGCTCAGATGCCAAGGCTGGGGGGAAAGAATTTGATCAAGGGTTGGACCCCAATGGGACAAGACCAAGGCCTTTTAAGCATGAGATTTTTATCTGTTTTATAACCTGTCATCATAAAAAGTCATTAGCTAGATTCTGAAGAGTTGCCTGGAGAAGTGCAGACTCCATCAATTCAATGCTATCTCCTGGGGGAGTGTGATAATCAGTTGTGACACCTATTGAGACTAAAAACCTGCGTTTAACTTCTGTATGTAATATCATTTGTACCTAAATGGCTTGAGCTCCTTGTTCAGCTGCTTTGGACACCTGGGTTCTCTCTCTTCAGTTTGCATTATGCTGGGCTAGTAATTTAACAGATTCATTCTTACCAGCTCACCCTCCCTGCTCCACGCACAGACGGCAGCCTGATCCTGCTGCAGTGCCACTGTATCACAGGCAAGCTCCAGGGATGGGGAGGCATCTTACCAGTGGCTTATATGGGTTTCCTAAAAACCAGCACATCTGCTTCTTATCTTGCTAAAGGAGGCGATTTGCAAATACAACTGATTTTATGGAATGGTACACGTTGGCATAGTCCTGTTGGGACATGGATTTTCTCAGCTGTGGAGAGCAACTGTCCAAGCACCCTTTCTGAGCAAGATCATGATATACTGGACAATTACAGAACTGCAAAAAGACTGTACTTAATTGAGCTAAGACAACCTCTCAAAATTAGCAATGGCCGGACATGGCTATAAAATACAGTATAGCTACAATGTCCACTTTTTCTATCAGGAAATGGCCCTCTGTGTTTCAAGACCTTCCAGATAAGTCAGAGGTCCAACTGCCTCTGTCAGCCCTTGTACCCCGTGGGCACTCAGCTCTGCCACAGGGCCTTTCCTTCTGTGCTTCCACCCTGGAACTCAACAGTCTTGTGTTCAGACCAAGAGCTGGAGACATACTGTTATAACATGGTCCTCCTGGACAATGAACCTCTTTTCAGAATAGTATTTCAGTCCAATGCAGTGGCTCACACTTGTATTCCCAGCACCCTGGAGGCTGAGGCAGGAAGATTGCTGTGAGTTCAAGGCCAGTCTGGGCTACATGGCAAAAGTTCAAGGCTGACCTGACTTACATAGTGAGCCCTTGTCTCAAAAGGAAAAGAGAGTAGTATTTTAAAGGATGAAAAAGTCAGAATTACAAGAGAATTACAGAATTACTATGTTACAGTTATCAATAATTTTTAAAAATAGTTTTTAAAATTTTATTTTAAAGAGGATAAAACCCAGGAAAATAAAATAGAATAAAACCAATCAAAACAAACCAGTGTGATACAGGACTTCAAAACAATACAAAATCAACAACAGTTACCATAATGTCTTTTGTTTTCAAAATAGCTAAGGATACCTTGGGACATAGTAAAAATCAAACAGAACAGAATAGAATAGAAACAATAAAAACAAAACAATGAATTCAACAAAAGACTTCAAAACAAGACAATAGCAGATCCAAAATGGCTACCACAATGTCTCGCTATCTTTGAAATAGCTGCTCCTGTCATCAGACATAACAAAATAAAAAAAAACAAAACAGAATAAACCTCAACCCAATAAAACAATGAAAATGATGATACAGGACTTCAAAACAAGGTAATAGGGAATTAAGTCACCAAGAAGCAAGCCCTCCCTGTAAACCAGTGCCATCCATGGGCCACTGCAACCAGACTCCAGTCCCCCTAGATGCTGCACTGCATACTGTGATCCTCTGAATACAGGATCAGACCATCAGCCCTAGACCAGCAAGGTCAGTGAAACACCAAACACCACAAGCATCCAATTGCATTTCACATCAATAGCTATCATCACAGCCTGAGTTTCTCTGGATTGGCTGGTAACTTATGGGCAGTGAGGGTGGGGCGGTGGGGTTAAGCTCTTCTTGTTTGCCAGTCTGCAGGCCAGAAGGGGCTGGAGTCTGGCTGTCCCCTCACCAGCAGTGGCTCATGCATGCTGCTGGTTCACAGGGAGGGCTTGCTTCTTGGTGAATCCTTATTCTCTCCGTGCTGCAGTTCACAAATGGCACTGACCCCTGGGAAAGGCTGGGGTCTGGCTGTGATCCTGCTGGCATTGGCCCACAAAATAATTTTTATTTTTATTTTTTGTGGTTTCGGGGATCGAACTCATGACCTCACACTTGCCAGGAAGGCACTTATGCACTGAGCTAAATCCCTGGCCCCCTCACAAAATAATTTTTAAAAGTAATTTTTTAAAAGTATGAGATGGTAGTTGGTTAGATAACTTTAATAGTGGTTATACTTCCTTGTAGTCACAACTTATGAGGGTTCTAAAGTAGACTCTGGGGTGGCTTCCTGGCTTGTTTTAACCCAGAGCACAAATAAATGGTGTGGGACACCACATGCCTCAGCAGAACATGTCACCAGGTGAAGAAGCCAGGGTGGGTCTGTGGACTACACGGCCCACTAGCCAGCCCCAAGTAAGGCCACCTTGAGCTGTCCAAGGGCTGAGCCATACCCTTGTCCCTGAACAAGTCCATGAAAACTGCCCGGTTAGCACAGCACAAACTGTGTTGTTTTGGCTCCTACATGTTGGCATCACTGTGGTCAAAGTTACTTCTCCATGTCTGAATTTCTTTATTATAGGAGAAATTACTTCTGAGGGTTGCTGTGTGGATCAAACAGAGATTGATCTAAAAGTTCAGAATTTCTGGAATTCACATGGGCCTTACAGTGCCTAGTGATCACACTACATGTTCAGGTGTAGGTAAATTTTTTACTTCTCCATCTTCCTGAAGTCAGCGCACTCTTCCTCCCTAAGAATCCTACCTACTTTGGAGAACATGAGAAGGTGTGGTTCCTATTCCCACTTTCGTTTTGATGAATTTCTTCCATTTTACTTAAATAGTCTAAAGGACTATAAAGCCTGTTCTCAGTCACAAACCTTGAACTTTCTATCCATTTTTCTAATCAGTAGTTATGTTGGCCTTTTCTCCACCAGGACTAGTAAAACCCTCTGCAACACGACCTGGCCTCCCTCACATTGCTGAGCTCACCATAAAGGCTCGGCACAGCTTAGTGGTTCAGTTCCTAGTACCATGAAAAGGAAGGGCTCACGGTGTATCTTTTTCCATTACCACTAAGCTGCCCTTTTGACATTCTGTGGGATCTGGAACTTTTGGAACACCTGTCTCTTCTGTGTGGACTCCCTTCTCCTTATTCATGTCAAATGTCATCTCCACATAAAAATTCCCCAAAGCATTCAGTCTCAAGCAGCCACCCAGTCACAGTCACGCAACCCTGCTCTGATGTGAAAGGTATCTGTCACTATTTAACGTATCTATTTCTCTGTTTACTGATCATTTTCACTCCCAGATGTAAGAGCCACATCAGCAGGGACTTAATAACTTCTAAGGCTGTTATACATTCAGACCTCAGAAGCATCCTGTATGTGGGGTTATGTCCATAACTCACTCTCATTACTTCCAGCCTCTGTTGGGTTTGTGGTGACAAGAGGCTCTTGAGGATCTGCTAGGATGAGCTGAGGTGGGGCATCGTCAAAGGATGGAGAGCACATCTCACACAGTTGTGTCTGCATGATGATGTTTTGGTTAACAATGGACCAAACATTAGATAGTGGGTCACATATGAGTATACAGTGTAGTGACACTGAACTCATCCTAGGTTGTATCAGGATACTCTAAAATGTTTGCACAATGAAATCACAAAATTGCCAGATGGCACATTTACCAGAACACAGCCTCAGTGGTTGAGCTCATAGATTAGGGGAAAAGTAGATACCTACAAATCAAACTACATTGTACATTCTCCAGTGTTTAAAAACCTTCATCCATTCCATGTGTATTTATATTTTATTCCACCTTTGTAGAATGTGTTTTAAGGAAAGGATATGACAAACTTATCCCCCATAAAGTATGAATGACTGGCAGGACTCATTGTCTCTCTGAAGGATGGGATATAATTAACAAGGCACAAAAAAACTAATACATTCGTGTAACATCAGCCAATAGCAATTGGCTGGACATATCTTTCAAGTGTTCAGCCCCTCTGTTCCACCAGGTGGTAGTGCTGGCACAAC